TGCCCCGCAAGGAAGTCATGGTGCATTCAAGTGCACGCAAGCTACTGGGAAGGCAGTAGCTGCCGAATTTGTGCAGCATTAGTACTGAGATGTACTGATTGATGTTAATCAACTGCTGCGAGTCAGCTGAGTTGCAATTTCACGGACACGGGAGGAAGATCGTAGCGCTCCAGCTTTGGGGAGTCTGAGGTTTCTGGGGCTGTCCAAGCTGCGAACCCTTCTTTGGTGCGCGGATGCAATCGATATGTATTTTCTAGAAAAGTCAAGCTGCGGATTCTGGCTTGGTCACAACTTGACTCCTTTGTTTTGGGAAGATGTCGGACGGAGCCGTGCTGCAGATGTGGCTGAGGGCAACAAACTGAGGCTTAGAGCATTCTACGTAAGCAGAGAAGCATGACCAGCTCTTTTCCGGTTGTTCCGCTCAGGATCTTTTTGAATGCTTGTCAATGCTGCTCCTGGGAATTCACAGCTCACTGCCCTGCTTCCCACCATGCATCTTCAGCAGGTCAATGAACTCGTGGTTCTCGTGTTCGAAAGCCAAATCCAAAGGGGTTTTTCCGTCCGACCTCTTTGCATTCACGTTCGCCTTGGCAAACAAGAGGAGCTCCGCAGATTTGACCCTCCCATTGGAAACTGCTCCATGCAGGGCGGCGGATCCAGTGCTGGATCTGGCTTCAATATCCACGTATGGCGTCTCAACCAAAACTTGCACTAAATCCTCCAGCTTGCGGCCCGCGGCTGCTCTATATACAAGCGGATAAGCCCGTTTGTCATGTGTCTTCTCGTTGAGTGCCTCTTTGAGCGGTTTGCCGCGCTGCTCTGGGGAGAAGGAGCCTTCCCACCATGCGACCTTCAGGAGTTGTTGCATTTGTTGATTCAGCTTGGCTGTATTTATCCTGAAGCAACCCGGGGGGCCTTCTGGAGTTGCTTTAGCCCGTGCATGATGGTTTGCAGGGGCTGAGACCGGCTGGGCATCTTCTGCAGCAAGTACAATGCTTTGTCCAGCATATCGTCCTTGGGCAGGTCCAGCGTGTCAAGCGCAATAATCACTCTCAATTCTTGTGAAGCCCCCTAGATATGAAGTAGATATGAAGGGGCATCAACAACATTTGGCAACTTGTCATCCTTGAGGATCTCCATGCCAGCGGAGACACTTCCCGCAGCCTGCCGTACAGATGCGAAGGAAAGCCGTGACATCCATGGTTTTGTGATCGGGGATTGGAGTTTTCGAGGATGATTAGCTTGAAAGCTAGGCAAGCCGCTTACGCGATGTGTCGGAACGACTCATCTTGGATTTCTGTCAGCATGGCTTCAGAATTTCAGCTTAAAGCTAATTGGCCTAGGCCTCAAGTGTCGTGTCCAAGGACCCGGGGTTCTTGGTGCCAGCGCCCTCTTGCAGCTTCCGGATGTCGTCTTTCATCTTCGCAATCTCCTCCTGGAATTCCTTCTGCGTCACCTGAGCAGATTGTTGGCATCTACGTCACCACCCTGAACGCCCTGCTAAGCATTCTTCTAAACCGAGAAGGCATCAAAGCCACAGCAAGAAAAACGCAGATAAAGCTAAAGTGGCAAACGGGTCCATCACATCT